CGCGAAAAAGCGCGGATTTTGCCCCGCCGATGGAACTCGGCGCTCCGGGGTAATCCTTCTCATTGAATTCAAGCGATTGCTCGTAGGACCGCTCACTCACATTCAAGCCGATCAAGCCAAGCCAAATCGTTTGTGTCGCATGGGCCTGATTCAGACTGCAGATCAACTTCGCTTTTCCTACCTCGCCATCATTGAGGGTGCCAAATACCTCCAGGGAGATTTGTCATCACAGGCAAGCGTTTTGTAACACCGTTCGGGCCCCTCGCTTTGACATCTGTGCTAAACGGCCCACCCGTATTTGGTGTCCCCCCCGGCCAGGACTCCTGGAGGGGCTTTTCGCAGGAGGAAGACGATCCGCCTGAATTCACCCCGCCGCCTGCTCGCCCTCCTCCGAGAGACGCTGCGAATGGCAAAGCGGAGCCGTTCTTTTGTCCCAAGAACGACGAGATTGTCCCGCCGATGGAACTCGGCGCTCCGGGGTAATCCTTCTCATTGAATTCAAGCGATTGCTCGTAGGACCGCTCACTCACATTCAAGCCGATCAAGCCAAGCCAAATCGTTTGTGTATCGGTTGCTTGGAAATGACCAAAAGCGCTCGCTCTCAAACGCAGTTGATTCTGTAAACAGGAAGTGGGCAGCATCACGAGTTGCAGAAGTGACTCAGAAGGAAGGTTTGAGGAGGTTTTTTTTTCCAGTCTTGGCTTGAGAGGGATAGCCCACTCCAACGATGGAGTTCGGCAGTGCAACTTTGGCCTGCGCTTTTCCTCGCCAAATGGATGAGGAAAAAGGCCATCTGAACAAAAAAAAAAAATTGCGCCGGAATGTTTTTTGGCGAAGCAATGCACAGAAGAATGTTTTCATCCATCCATTATCTGAAGCGCTTATCCTAAATGAAATCGCCAATTTGACATCATTGGTACACACAACAAAGAAAGTCATTCAACATTTTTTCACTCAATGCAAATAAATGTTCATTCAACAAATGTAGAACAAAAGAAAATAACACGCTAAACGGCTAAAAACGGACCCTGAATGAGAGTAACGAATCCACCTAAAATTTCAACATCATTTTTGTTATGCTCCTACATCTTGTGGACGTCCTGAAGCTGCGCAAAAGCTTTTTGCTCACGCCACTCCGAAGACACGACCGCAACGGCGCCCGAGAATTGGGCCCCCTTCGTCGCCGACGTGTGCCTGTGCGCGGCGGCGCTGGCGCTCGGCGCTTACATCTGCTTTCGAGCCTTTGGCCACTGATGTCTGCCCTCCTCTTCCTCCTCCTCCTCCTGACCAGCTTGGACAAACGTTGTTTTTGTCTTGGAAGCTCGGAGCCTTTTGTAAGTCGCGCGTCCCCGATTCACGCCTCAACTGACGTATACACAAAGCGCCGCGTGTTAGAAATGGCGAGATTAGAGTTGAGGGGGCTATATTGACGGGACCGTGCCCGGTAATTCTTAACGGCTGTTGGGAACCCCCCAAAAAAGAAGCAATATTTGAGGTGCCATATTCACCGCACGGTGAATGCATGGCGGAATCAATCGTCTTTTGGCCGCGGTAAATTGGACATGAAATCTGACTGAAAAGAACGATCCCGTTGACTGGGCAGAAACTTTTTTCCGTCTCCACTGGAGCACACGTTTCGCGCTGCGGAGAGATGCCGCGCATGTGCCATTGGCCTACTTGGCAGTGCGTTGGGATCTTCTAGCCACGGAATTTGATGAGCGTTGAGAAGAAGCTAAAACTGAAAGATGGCAGTTGAAATGATGAGGAAGTCAAAATCGTGCGCACACTCCGAGTGGTTCAAAGATGGCGTCAGTGCCTTGACGTCAGTGGCGCACGTGGCTGTTCTTGAGGTTCGGTCGGCGGCGGCGGCATGCCGTGCTGTATGAATCCTCCAGCTGTCGGAATTGCGTCGACATTCCCTATTGCAAGCATCTGTGCCCGAAGATTCTTGCGTGCGCTTGCGATCCAGGCAACTCAGTCCGCCGCAGCGTGAAGCTAGAAATGAAATGTCCCATCGGATCTTCTTTATCGGCGTTAACCGGCGATCAGAACCGAGTGACACGTTGCTTGAAAATCATTCAGTTGCGGCCGTAAGATGGAGGGAATGAATGTGGGAGGGAGGCGCCACCGTGGCCCGCGAGATAAGCGCTCAATTCTGCGCTGACTTCTCCGTCCTCTCCCGTCGGTCGCCGGATGCCGACACGTGGCACGGCCTCGCACAGCCTGCGTGTGCTTTGTTTAGGCTTCCGTCAAGCGACGGTATCTTAAGAAATGATTCATAGAACACCGAAAGGCCCCAGAACGTGAATTCAGAGACGGGGTCGTGCTTGTAAGCGATTGCTGAAAGTCTGCAGACAGAATTCCCCGCCGTGGAGCTACGGCGCCAAAGGGCGGTTCAGCAGCCCAGTGCCGAAATGGCGGCGTATTGGCTCAGGCATTTTTTGCAGCTCCAACATGCAGTCGCGTGGAGGCAGAACCAAGATGCTCTGTGAAATCGCATCCTTTTGGCAGCTCACCGAAGTGCTATTGGATCCACCGTTCAATGGGGGCATTGTTTTTGCGCTTGGAGCAGACGCGCCCACGCCGTGAAGAGAGCAAAGAGGAGCCATTCTTGTGATTTGAATGATTGTGAAATGCGCGTTATGCCCTTTTTAATCATTGCGATTCGGCAGGGTTGTTAACACTTGTCAGACATTTACACCACATTTCTTTTCACTTTCACGGAAGACCAATGTGAAGCAGGCTGCCGCGTGGCTCTTTGTTCCTGCTGCGTCGTGTCCTAACGACGCCAATATCTCCATTGAAGGGCAAACATTTTGTTTCATGGCGTCACTCTGCGCTGCAATTGTCTGGCTCCTGGTCCACCACTGTTCTAAAGGTCCTGGTGTGTACCCCGCCGCTCGCGCAAAGTAACCTGGGATCGACTCCTCTCCAATGACCCCAATAAAGACAACAGCTATTTCCAAAAAAATGGATGAATGCGGGTTGTAACTCCTGGCTGAAGTCAAGTAAACGGAGCCAAACTATATGCCAGCAATACAAACTCATTTTTTAAACAGGGAACCAGGGAAAAACAACCAAGACAACTCCAACATGGGGGCAAAAACAATACACTGGAGTCACACTTGGACGCCAGCACTCTGAGTTGGAAATATTTTGAATGATTGTGTTGCCTTGAAAGCATGCTGCATTTGTGAATCAAAACAGGTGTCTTCCAAAGTGACATTGGTTATGCTGCTAGTATTCAACTCAATCTCTCTAAATATATGTGCGTGCGTGTGTGTTTGTGAGAGACTTTTTTGTAAACACATTAAATCGGGTTTTTAGTGTGCTGCATGCTTTGGTTCTGCTTTAACAAGGGATTCAACCTCAGCACCTCAAGTTCTCCTGTTTTCTATCCTAAGATTAAAATGTGTATTTTTTTTATTTTTTATTTACATTGGTTTGGCTTTTCAAATAAAGAGTTATACTGCAGAATCTTTGCAGTTTTACATTTAGGACATTTGTTTCATGACATAAACGAAAAAACCTGACCTGTTTCAATGGAAACAAAAGAGAAAAGTCGATCATGTTTTCTGCCCCTTTTTTTCCTACCGGAAATTGTAACATTTCACTTTTACGTTTGCCTTTTAGCGTTTGTTTCAATGTACCATAATTGCAATGACTCTTTACCCGTGTTGCAAACACCTATTTAATTAACCGTCAAAATTATTTAATCGGTTTTGTTTCATGATCTTATAATACAAATGTATATATTTGACTTTTTGAGGAGGTTGTTCCTTACGGAGCCTCTAAAACAGTGGTTCTTAATCTTTCTCGAGGTGCCGAACCCAACCAGTTAATATGCACATTCACCGAACCCTTCAGGAGTGATCAATAAATATGTTTTTATAAATTCAAGATATTTAAAAAACCGCATTTATTAATAAAATTTCAAGAGATGAGTATACTTTTTTTTTTTAATTGTACGACGTACGATCAACGACAGTCACACGTTGACTACTTATCGAACTAAATTTTCCACAGCACTGATTGGACAAGCAATGTCATGTGACCATCTGCAGCCAGTGATGGCCAAGCGGGCGTGTCATAACTAATTGACGTGTTGAGTCGGATATGTCTCAAACTCCCTGGCGGAGGGAGGCTTTCTCGAACTCTTGAGACCGATTCAAGGAACCCCTGTGGTTCGATCGAACCCAGGTGAAGAACCACTGCTCCAAAAAAACATGGAAAAAAAAATAAATACGTTTCTTGTTAGGACGAGAAGGTTTGTCGTCCAAACGAGAAAGCTCTTGTCCTATTGAGAAAACGTTCTCATCCTAACGAGAAAACTTAAAACGGGAAACAATTGTCCTCACGTTGTCTTCTTTTAATTGGTTGATGACACGATTTGTAATTTGGTTTCGTCCTTGCTTTGAGGAAAGAGTCTAAATCAGGCATGCCCAGCTGCTGGCCTGGAAGGCCGCCGTCCGGCCCGTTTTCCGGCTCTCCCGGATGCAAAGCGCCTGATTCGGACGATCGGCTCATCGGTCAGCTCTGAAGCGGGATTCGAACCATCCTGATGATTTGAATCGGGCGCGTTGCTCCCGGGAAAATAGGCGGGAAGGCGGCCCTTGACGACCGAGCTTGGACAGCCCTGGTCTAAGTCCTCTTCTGCTGCAATTGTCTCAACGCACTGGAACAGGTTGAAAAAAAATAGAAGACCGTTCACAGGAAGCGAGATCACGCATCCAAATAAATTCGCGGGGAGAGGCGTTTCTCATCAGGGCGAGAACGTTTCTCGTCATTTATCAGTGTCATACGAAACCTTCTCGTCCTAACGAAAAGGATATTTCTTTTTTTTTCTTTTTCCCCCCCATGTCACTTTAGGTCTCCCGCAGTTCCTATGCCGGAACGTCACATTTCGCTTCTCTATTCCTTGGTTTACGTTTTATCTGAAATCCTGTACTTCCTTCTTCAATGTGTATCTTTCGTACTCGATCGATCCCAGCGACGCATAGCGACAGACACAAGAATTAAACGCTCTGAGACACACGCCACACATTCTAATGTCGAATATGTGCTTTGTCTCGAGAGATGGATCAGTTGAATCCGAAGTAAAGCCGCCCCCTAACAATCACAAGGTGGCGCTGATGAGCTTTGCACTCGCTGTTTTTTTTTTTTTTTTGATGGTTGCGCACACTTCCTGTTTCTCGACTGCGCCTGCTGGGTTTGATCAATCACTTTGTGCTTCTTTGCAATGCGGTGCAGTTATGAGGTTTCCTCTCCCGGCGTAACACACACAAATGCGCGCTGTCGTCGCGGTGAAAAAAAACAAAAACACACGCGCAAAAATACCCCCTTTTCCGTTTTTAATACTGACAACGCCAGAACTGAGCGCGGTGGAAAGCCGTTTGTTTTCCCCGAGACAAAACAAGACGTCGGTAAAGTTAGATCGTAGTCGACCCTCTGCGTCTTTTTTATTTATTTATTTTTTTTACTCTTGCGGGAGATTTGGCAATCGACAACTTCCTGTTTGGGA